TAATAATTAGAGAAAAATATGAATGTATGTAAATATTTTTACTAACAAAATGTACTTTTGTTATGCTTGTCAACATTTAATAATTAAAATTGTAATTAACAAATATTAAAAACTTTATTAAAAGAAACTTTATGTATTAGTTACTAATATTTTATTGCTCTGCTTTGCTTACGGTTAAAAGTTAATAATTATTTAATTAAATTGAATTCAATTAATTAATTTTATTTTTATTTATTTAATACACCTGCATATTTTATTTGCCTACTTTTATAATTATCTGCAATATTCTCTACTTTTATTTGCTTTAAATGTGTTTGCACATAACCTAAAWTTATTTTTCTCAATCTATATTATCGCTATGCTACAAAAATACACACATACACACCTACACTTCTACACCTACGCACACACACACCCGCACTTTTGCAACACTTTAAAAATGTCATCGCTGCGCCTGCGCCCACTTCTATACACCGCTACATAACAAATGYACACACACAATAAACGCGTGAGAACAGGCTAACGGACTCGCCTGCCAAGGCATCTACGAGGCTGGTTCGATACCCTCYTTTGCGGCCAACGCCAGCTTATTCGTCGCCTCGCACAAATACTAAAATAACACAAGATTAATATGTATGTTTCATACATTATATCTATGTATAAGTAACTTACACACACAAGTAAAGCAGCACGCACACACATCTGCGCAATTTATATGTATGCAAGACTGCGCGTAAGGAATTGAGCGGCGCGCGTTTGAAGCAGTTATTCGTGTAATGCGCTGCAGCTTATGCATAATTATTGTTATTAATGTATATCTCCGTATATATGCACATATATACACATAGTATGTATATGTAGTTCATGTATATGTTTTAATGTTCGTGTGCTTTAGAATTTTACTAATTTAGTTTATGCTAATTTTTGCCAGTTTTTTTCTATTAAATATATTTATATAAAATTTTATCTGCGTTTCATGCCTATTGTCACCATTTTATTTAACTTTCAGCCTTTTCTAGCTATTTTATGATTATTGTTTACTATTATTTGAATATTTTCTAGAAATAAAAAAGTTTTATTTATGCTTTTTTATTATTTTTTATCACCATTATATAATTTTTTAGGCACTTATGCGGTTAGAAATACTTTAATATTTCTTCTGTGGATTTTTAACAATTTTTTTTTGATGAAAACCTGGTACAAAAACTGACGCATCACTTTAACCTTTGTTTAAATTTCGTTATAAAATATTCTAAAAGCAGTAACTTGCATTGAGTTGATTCATTATAGAATATTTAACAGCTGGTGTTGTTGTTATAGCGAAATATATCAGTCTCTCCAACATTTTTTGTGTACTACTATGAACAAAAAATAGTAAGACTGGTCCTAATTTTGAAATTCCTAATTCAGTTTTCAAAATACATATGTATATGTATGTCCTCCCCTCAAAGTAATTACTCTTGGACCCAATACACTAATTTTTTCTAATCTTTGAAAGTAAATTCCCGGAATAGTTTTCAAATGCTTGCAGCGATTCACGTTTAATGTCTTCATTTGACTCAAAACGGTTTCCCCGGAGCAGTCGTTTGAGTTGACTGAATAGCCAGAAGCTAAATCAGGTGTATACAATGATTGCGGCACGAATTAGTTGAAAGTTTGACGAAAACTCACGAGGAATCAATGTAGTATGCGACGGTGCATTATCGTGGTGTAAAAACCAAGAGTTGTCAGCCCACAATTCAGTCCTTTTTTAACAAATAGCTGCGTGCAAATGACGCCCACCACTCAAATCGTATTCCTTGTTGACAGTGCGGCGCGGAAGGAATTCGGAGTGCACCACACCTCGATAATCGAAGAAAACTGTCAACACAATCTAGATTTTTGACCCGCTTTGACGTAGTTTTTTATCGGCTTCAGCTCATCTTTGCCACGATATTCGATCAAAAGATCCTCTGTTAGCGGGTCATAAGCATGGATCCAAGACCCATCACCAGTAATACTACGTTTCATGACATCCAGGTAGTCGGAAAACATAGTTTGACAGACGTTAACGTGACGTTGTCTTTAGAAAAAATTGAGTAATTTTGGAAACAATTATGCTTTCACTTTTCTTGGACCCAAATGATCTTTCAAAATGGTTTGCACTGATTCTTCTTATATTCCAACGATGCCAGTAAGGTCTCTGACTGTTAATCGTCGATTCTCAAGCATCAATTCCTTCATTTTATTGATGTGTTGATCATCAGTTGATGTTGATAGCTGTACTGGACGTGGTTCGTCGTGAACGCGTTCTCGACCCTTTCTGAGTGAATTGTACCAACCAAAAACATTTGCTCGCTACAAACCCTTGTTACCGAAAGAGTTTTCTAACATTCTGAAAATTTCGGAACTACCAATTTGATCCTTTGCTGAAGAATTTTTTTGATCGTAAGGGTCGCTAAATGCACTTTATGTACTTAAGAAAGACAAGCGTATACTAAACAGTATTGATTATTTTGGAACAGATAACACTGACTATCATATAAACCGCTCAGAATTTCAAATAAAAAGTGTTACTATTTTTTGCCTACAGCAGTATATACGCACTACAGAGGAGACAATATTTGATTAGATAAAATTCCGGGTACAATTCATTTACGTAAAACCGACTGTTGTGGAAATCAATATTCGAAAGCTTTCAAAGCTGCTCTTATTACAAGCAAAGCTCAACACCCAGCTCACCTCCTACGAACAACTCAGATTATTTACTATATGTTATTATAAAAGTTTGCTTTAGAGCGCTTCACAAGTTTTTTGACGAATTTTCTCTATTCTCCAACGCTTTGCCGTAATTTGAGATTTCTTTCTTGAGCTTTATTTTGACAATTCGTTTTTATGACAAAAATACCGAAACACTTACCTCACTTGTTTGATTATAGTTGTTGTTGTAGCGGTAGACAACATTTCTGAAGTAATTTTGAGGAATTGTGCAGTGTTGACAGTTCTTGGAAAGTGAAAAATCCGGGTACGAGTATATTCTGGTTACTTAGAGCCGACTGTCATAGGAATATATGAAGCATTTTCAAATATGCAATAGCGTAGTCTCTAAACAACTGTTGACTTTGTGGTTGACTATATCGAGTAGCATTAATTGTAGTCTCCGTCATGTAAGCGAGATTAAGAATAGAATGTATTTTAATGGAGGTCTGCACCGCGACTTAAGGTTTATTAAGTCTTTCCCTCAATCACAAGTACTCAGAACGGCTCCGCAGTCTGTTGAATTCCAGGAACTTGCTGAGCTCTGTTGAGATGCTGTGAACCCTCTACAGATATTTGGATCCAAGAGCCTTAACCTGTGTCTACAGTTTGCAAACTATAATCAGGTACTAAGCTGAAGAGAGAATGTACGTACCTTTGTTATATTTAGATTGACTAATGATTTTAAAGCTTAGAGCCTAAGCTGTGCTGTGCTACTAGCCTTAGGACCCACGGCTCTTCTTTTGGCATGGAATACAATGATGAAATATAAGACTATGTAGAGCATATAACAATTAAACGAAAAACTCATCAGCTGGTTTAAGAGAAGCTTAATAAATAGTAGAATTATTCATTCATAGCATAAGGCTAAGTTTATAAAGAATAATCGCGACTGATTGGTAGTTATACATGAGGAGTTGTTGCCGTTGCGTGTGATTGATTTACCTAGTTCTAATTTCCAATAAGAAAAGATACATAAGGCGAAGTTCTGGACACATTTTTCGAAAGTTCATAGTCATATTGTTGCCTGTCCTAATGAAAATTGTTAAACTTATATCCATTAGACGGTATTTTTCAAGAATTGAGGTACCATTATATAATATGTATCAAAAATAAATATGTAGTAGTAAAAAAGAGATTTGGTAAAAATAAAAATATCAGGGAATAAAAAAAGCAAAATACTCCAAATTTGGGGAAAATAGGTCACTTGAAACCACTTGAAAGTCTTTTTTGGCGTATATTTCAACGAACTGAAAGAGCTTGACTAATTTTATATATTTAAAATTTGTATTAAAAACTTGGCTTCGTTAGGGTTAAGAAAATGTTTTTTGCTCAAATATTTTGTATTATTACTGTAAATATTAATATTCATATTGAGATTAAGAAAATAAATTTTTAAAAGATAAAATAAAAAACTGTGCTCTCAGTACCATAGCGGCTTCGTTAGGGTTAAGCAAAATGTTTTGGCGCAAATAAAGCGGAAATTGTGTTGTTACTGTAAATATTATTTAATTTTATTTAAATTAAGAATATATAATTTTTTTAGCGATAAAATCATACTTGTATGTATACATTATTTTTTTATAATTAGGTATACATATGTATATATACAATTACATATATACATGTATAGTAAGACTATATACTCTTATTACATAATACTCCTACTTAATCCAATAAAGTCCCAATTATTTTTATTTCTATTATTTTTGAATTATTTCTGATATATAACATTTTTCTGAGTGTTGCCGTTAATTAATGTTTCTCTTTGCCCTCTTTCAGGCTAACGGTGAATCCGCTGTAGGCAAATACGTTGCCGGCAGTGTGGTCGGTGCCGGTGCTGATGCCGCACTCTTCATTGCCAACCATGCTTACTAAACAACAACAACAACAACAATAGCAACAACAAGTTAAGCATGAAGTAGTGGAAGCGCTGACCTTGCTGTAAACGAGGGAGGATTTGCTAAGTAGCACTAGAACTAGAGAGGAAATACAGGCTTACGTAAAATAGTGTCGAGATGGATTATTGTTTGCAATTTATTTATTAAGGAGAAAGTGACGCAGATACAAAACATAAGAGTAATATTAACAAAAAAAAAAAAACGACAACAAATATTCTACTATAAACTAGTAGCAAGAAAACCAAAGCCGGAGGAACGACAACAACAAATAAGAGTGTAATACCAAAAATGAAAGCATAGACAAAAAATTTACACCATGCTGCCTCTTCCTCCCCACCTGATTGTTATACATTTTTTAAACGAGAGGTGAAAATGAGCAAAAACTGCAGAAAAAACTAAAATCCAAACGCAACAATGCATTGCAACAATAACAATAACAACAAACCTGCGCAAATAATTTGTTAAATTTTTTTTACTGCTTTCGGAGAGGCTTGCCTGGCGAGGCGATTTGGCGGCACACACTCTGCTGACCACGGCGGCGGACGCGCACACAACCTAAGCGACAAAAGAACAACAAAAACAATACGAAAATACTGTTTGCGGTTACACTAAACAAATTTATTATCATTATATATATGTTTAAGTAAAAAAAAGAAGAAAAAATAAAAGTTGAAAGTTAAAACAAATTTAGACAAGATGAGATGAGAAAAAAAACCGAAAAAATAAATAAAAATACATAAAATATTTAAAAAAAAAACAATGCATGTGCTATTCTTTGAAATTGAAACAAAAACAACAAGTTGTTATTTTAAGCGTTTCGTTACTATATATGTACATACATATAATTCCTGCAAGTTTGAATTAGATATGAGTCGTACATACATACAAACTGCATACATATACAAGATTAATTAATATTAGTAACACACATGAATCTGTAGTTTTAGCACTTCCATGATTCACACAAAATCCATGTTGTGTAAAAAAGTCAACACAGACGACGATGATTTTTAACAAATTGTTTGTTTTTTTATAATAATTATAAATTATTGAAATAAATACATGCTTTACTCAGGTAAACGAAGACTTTGTTCATTCCATAAAGCGCAAACTTGGGAATTTCGCAAGAATAAACACAGCTAAATTAATTAATTCGTAAACATTCAAAGCATTTTGCCACGAGAAAATAATTATAAATAGCTACACATACAATGTATGTTATATATTTGCACTGAGTATGTATATATTTGTATTTGCCTCGTTTGAATGCAAACAAAGTTACAATAATAGATTTTACGTAGTGCTTTGTTTGTCTTTGTTGTTGTTATTTGTTTTGAAATGTTGTTGCACTGTTACAGCAGCTGATTAGTTATCTCATACAATTAGCAATTTTCGATAATTGTCAATTGATAGTTGGTTATGCGCCTAAAAGTATGCAACGGCGATCGTGTAATCTTTTGAAATCTCATATTGTTCTATATACTTAATTTTGGGCAGTTAAATTTGACTTGAGTGTTTCCAAATAGCCTAAAAGTAGGCAACAGAACCATACATTAGTGTTTGCTGAGGCCTCAGGTGTGGATGTCATATCATTGGATATATATTGGGTTGTCAAAAAAGTCTTGCGGTATTTTCGCTAGTTGAATATTTTAAATTACTATAAACAACACAAATAGCGACCGTATGTCAAAAAGTTGTGAGTATGTATAACATCAAAAATGTTCAAATTTACGATTAAGTTACCAGTTGCCAGATTTCAACATTAGGGTTGCCAAATCCCGAAATATACTTGTAAAAACCAGCCAACGTATTTTTTCTCCATTCGAGAAAACGTTGTGCGCTGAAATATCATCTTTGTTTGCATAGAAGTCTAGAAAATGAGCTCTCGCAAACAAGAGTTCAATAATATTTTATGTTATGGTCTCCGATCTCAGGCAATATTCGCAAACAAGAGTTCAATAAAAGCTAAATTTTCCTTAAATTGAAAAGCATTCGTCAAATTATTTCCTTTCCTTTTCTTTGGGAACAGTTTCCGGTGCATTTTGATTGAAAGAGGTCACTACGGTATACGATTTTTTTTAGACTAACCAGTTCACCTAGGACTCTTAAATTGAACTGGTATTGATGACATTATGGTATAAGCATTTATGAGGTTCGCCAAATTGAATGTAGCACTTTTCGAGTTTTATTGGTACGCATCGAAGCCTCTCGGACATCTTGTTGCTCTTATATTGCCTCATCCCTTTGTAATTAGCAGGCGTCGTCGACCTCTTCCGTGTCGTCATTATCAGAAGCTTTGTCGCCGAAGTTTACTTTGTTACCAGCTTTCAATAGGGCCTTCAACTGCTCCCATATAGTTACTAGTATGGGTGTGCTCTCTTTATTGGATTTCTCCTCCTTAATCAGCGGACAGTCATCTTTACCACACATCTCAGAGGTTTCTCGTCTGGCTTCTTTAAAGGGTTTTTGACGGGTATGAAGTTAAATTTGAGGCTCACTCAGGGGTATATAATTTAAGCGACGATACTTGTTAAGAAACCCAAGACCCTTCGAAAATATAGCTTGAATCTAGACTCGATAAGCTGACGTCAATCTCCCCCTTATCTCTTGTTTATGTTCCTGTCTTCGCTAGTCATCTGCAGGGTTACTTTTGTTACACTGATTTGCTCTGTTCCCCCCTTGTTTAGACTTTTTGGGCAGAGTTTCTTGCCGCTTCAGTTGTTACTGCCATAGCATTAGTCATCTCATTATGCGCATTCTCATTCGTAAAGCTGATATGCGTGTAAAGCATTTCATACCTTCAACCACGCCCTGACGTTGGTGGGTATCTCGATACCTAGGCTTAGGTTGGTGTTGGTGCTGGTATTCTCAAATTTCCACAATCTAAAATGGGCTTAAAACCGAAGATTTATATCCCTCACGTTCCCACCCCTATTACTTAAGCCCTTCCCCACAGCAAGGCGACCAATACAGAAAGAATCATTACGGTAACAAAGCAAACTTTTGTTGCCCAGCTACTTCAAGGTTTCTCCAGCTATTCGAAAAAGTAATAGAGTCTGCGTAATCTTTACCAATATCTCTGATAAGAAACGGATTGTTGATGAAGAAAAGTCAAACGCTCTTAAAAGAAAGCCCGATTAGTTACCATTTTGCTTCGGATCTCTCAGTTGATGAACCTTAATGGAAAATCGACGGTTTCTTTCCTCTACTGCAGATTTACAAACGGTTTAGAGAGGCCAACATCTGATGAGTCGACGTTACGAGTTTGATTGAGATATATGACGACACTGACATAGTTCAGTGAATGAACGAAAACACTTTAGCTCTGAAAGTATTCGACGCAGTACCCGCCGGGGAAAGCAGAGGAAGAGGAAGACCTCTACTACGTTGGAAAGACCAGGTGGAGAAGGACCTGGCTTCGCTTGGAATCTCCAATTGGCGCCAACTTGCGAAAAGGAGAAAGTACTGGCGCGTTCTTGTTAACTAGAAGAAGAGAGGACTAGAGTTGACACTCAGAACTTATTTATAAATGTGGAGTTGGGGTGAATCAATTTTAATTTGTTAAATTTTAGTTGAAAAGTTATATCGTGTACGATATGTGCAACTGTGCCCACTTCAAACCATTTGTCACACTAATTAGAAACGGATTAGAAACCACCTCAGTTAATTCCGCGAAAGTGCGCGCAAGTTTTAATGGAATTAAATCAGTTACCTTGACGTTGACAGTTCCTAAGCGATGGCATGCATTTCCTTTACTACCTTACATTCACACATGTGTAACTGACAAGTCGGATATTCAATATTTACACTCAAGGTATAGTACATAAGGCATTGCACGTCAATTAGCACACTATCAATTAAATGCCATGGAGTATTTACAAAGGCGGCGCTTGAAAATACGCGGTAACTCTGAGATAGATATTACAGTTATATGCGGTCGCTCCTTTTATTGTGTCTGGGTCGGCCAATCCTTGAAACGAAAGCGGATGCAAATCGAAAGTGGTAGACACGGAAGATGCGGCATTCATGTGTTGCTTGAAGTGCGAGTTGAAAGGTGAGATGGTATGTCTGCTTCTTTTACTATTAGTTATATAAAAGGATTAAATTGAATATGATCCGAAATACTTCAAATGAAAGTTATACTTACTTTTCAAGATGAATGGTAAGTGTGGATGGCCAAGAAACATATCCTTCTAATAAATTATTAACCTAGTGTGAAAACTAGTCTTCAGTGATTGGAATTTAAAAATTCATCCTGGCTCCTTTTAAAGTGGTTTCGCAGAGTCTTTTCTGTCATACAAAATCCATTGTAAGAAAATCGACAGAAGTTATGGTGAGTTACTATAGGTAAGGAAGACGTTGCATGTCATTATATCATCTGTTTTTAAAAAGTCTAATAGAGCTGAAACAATTTTTAATTGGAAAGGGATTTGTGGTGCGGTCAACAACCGGTCCGGTCTTACAACAAACCTTCAATACGTCTTCTCCGAAAATCTATGCTGCTTTGTATTTGCTGAACTTTTCGGAAAAAGCTTAATAGATATTGAAGGACTCACCTTTTTTATTTGTGTATTAAGGCTTTCAACTTCGGTTTGCGGTCTTGTTGTAAGAATTATAGCAGTCCGGAGTACTAGGTTGTATATCATGTAGATATGAGAGCATGAAATATGGTATACATATGGTATGTCAGCGAAAGAAAAAAAAATAAATCAGAGCGCGGACAGCAGATATCAAACCTGTCATCAGGTTCTGATTCCAGTTTTATCGCTCTAAGTCTTGAGTCATTAGATGGTTACTGTTGCAATTAGTCTAACTCTTGCTTATTTAATTAGCTTTTATGAGCTGAAACTCACAAAAATTTACGAAACTATAAGTAATCATTATCGAAGCTTTAAACCTACATGCATACATTACTTGGTTAGAAGCATGTTGGTAGGATCTACATAACTGGAACGGACTCCGTTCTACTTCAGCCAGGAGCTGTATTTGCGATATTATGTCTTCAATAAATTTTTCATAAAGATAGCAGATTCTAACGCACCTGTTTACTTTAGAACGCACCTTGTAGTATACACGTAAGTTAGATCGGTCAATTTTTTTTTGTCTAATTCAGGAATGACTTGCAAATTCCTCATTCACGCCACATAGTTATACATTTATGTATATACTTGTAGGATTGTTGGTTTGTCTAATACGAATACTTTTCAGCATACTTCATCGTTTTGAAAGAAACTAGGTCAGCCCAGTAATTAGGGCAATGCATGGAAATTAAGAAAATACCAATTTTCAG